GTCTATGAATTGGATTCATCACTCTGTTTTCCTCCGCACTGATAGCTGGTGTGTGATGAGTGTACTGGTGCACCATGGCTGCCGTTACATCATGCAGGATTGGGCTGCACGTTGGTGGCGGTGGAGGGGAGTCCCCATTACCCGTAGAGCGCTTTGTGTGGCGTGTCCAGAAAAGCGCTGTGTATGTGGAGGGGCTGTCTGTTGATTATGATGAGTGGTCCATGTGCGAGGGTGCTCTCTTGCAGATGGAGCTGCAGGCCGTGGGCCCCTCCATCCCCTCCTTCATTCACGACGAGGAGGGCAACGTCATAGACAGCCGGGGCGCCAGCGGGGAGCCCGTCCAGTTCGTCTTCGAGGAGATCCACTGGCACTCGCAGATCAGCAGAGAGGAGGCCGCCCGCCGTCTGGAGGTCACCCTCTACCCCTTCAAGAAGGCACGTTCCCTGGTCTCAGACCTCTAGCTTTCAGCCAGTCAGTGATGTTTCTCTTGGGCCCGGACATAGCTATGTGTTATTCAGCCCATCTTACTGCTGCCAGTGGGGAGAGAAATAAGGTACAGACAGCTGCCCGAATTCAGACTGCCAGAGCAGGGGTGGTGTTTGGAATCAGGACTAAAAATATATTTTTAGGCTTTAGCGATTATGTCTGCTATCAGCCAGGCCATGTCACACACTGAGGAGATAGGCGAGTGACTGCAACCCAAAGGATCTGTTTTTGGTTTCTAATAAGCTGCTACAGTGAGTGAGCAAGGAGATTGAACGTGCGGATAACTGACGTTTGTAGAGCAGCACTGCTTCTGCATGTGAAAAAGCTATCCAGCATGACGAAGAGGCCGGGACACAGCACTCCTATAGTCTCGGCCCGTCTGATTTGTGGCGCATTCTCATGGAGCAACGCCCGGCCTTGTTTTGCAGGTGTCTTACCTCCCCTTCCTTGAGGCCTTTGACAGGGCCAAAGCTGAGAACAAGCTGGTGCACTCCATCCTGCTGTGGGGGGCTTTGGACGACCAGTCATGCTGAGGTGGGCTGGCAGAAGCAGGAGGATGGAGGGGATGGGGGAGTTAGGAGACACTGACACTGATAGAGCAGCTCTACACAGCAGACATGAGGCCAGAGAGCAGAGTGGGAGTTTGCAGAAGAGAAAGTAAAATCCAAATGGAAAATATAAGTGAATAGTAACAAGCTAATAAGTCTTAAGTGAGAGACAATAGACTGAGATCCTTACTAAGGTATATATCTAGGGCTTGATAGTTGTGATTTGACACACTGGAGTGCATTGCAGTTCCTGATCTTAAGGGATTTTGCAGGATATGATGTGCAAGGCAAGATGTAATGCATGATTTTGAGCCATGTGATCAGATCTGTTAGGTTTGAATTGACGATGTGGTTCGATTAGATGTGACCTGGGTGAGTGACACCTCTCCTCCCCCCACACACTCTCTCTCCCTGCTGCAGGTTCGGGGCGAACTCTCCGGGAGACCGTCCTGGAAAGTTCGCCCGTCTTGGCTGTGCTGAACCAGAGCTTCATCAGCAGCTGGTCCCTGGTCAAAGAGCTGGAGGAGCTGAGGGTGAGTGAGCCCGTGGCCTCGGACCCATTTCCCAGGGTAACCGACGTCATCACGGCAACTTCCAGCAGAGTTTAGCAGCGCTGTGCTGAAGCAAACCCCAGACCTGAAGCATTTTCAGTCTTAAAAACTTTGGATCTGGCGTGTTTCTGTAAAGCAAGTTGCTCATTTTTTGGCCTTTTTCTCTTGGACACGGTGACCAGTTGGGAAATGTATTCAAAAAAACTTTATCGAAAACTGGCACCGAGAAACGGAAAATGGGAAGCACTCCCATTCCCACTGTTACCACCTACAACCTCAAAAACGCGGCTGACACGCCCCCTAAGTAAAAGTTAATACAGCTTGTAATCTTAAGGGGGAACTGCAACACTGTTTTTATATTTCAGGGTTAGAAACAATCTGCATTTATGAATACCACAATGAAAATAAAATGTGTACAGCAACGTAACAGAACAGACGAAGTCTCCAGAATTCTGTGATTCGGAATGAGGCAAAAAAAACTCCTGTGATTTGAAGCGGCCCTGTTAAATTGTAAAGAAGCAGGCTTGTGAATACACTTTTAATTGATTTCGAAACATTTTTGCAGAAAAATACAACTTGTTAACTCTGCATGCAGATCACGTGGGAACATTTCTGTGGTGAAATGTCTGCTGCACAACCTGTACTTATTCCCTCATACATCGCATTGCATTAGTCATTACGGAGACTAGTGGGCTGCTTCACATTTCAATTCACACAAACTCTTGCTCTCTCGGCCGTGGCAAGATCAGCGGTTTGCAACAAAATGGAGACCACACAGTACAAAGTTCACGATTTTGTGCTTCATTCAGAATTTGCCAGCATTTTGCCATACTGTCAATTTATTATGTCACCGAGATGGTCTCAAGGATCAACACTCCGTAATTTGCAGGAGGGGAGTCTTTTTGAGCCACCTTGTAAGACTTACACTTCCCAACACTTTTGATGTGTCTCCTGGTGTGCGTTTCCCCAGGATGACTCTCAGAACCCCAGCCTGGCCCAGCTGGCTGCTCTGCACCTGGAGAAGTACAACTTTCCCGTAGAGATGATGATCTGTCTGCCCAATGGCACAGTGGTGAGTGAGCCTTGCCCCTTGGTTCCTTGATGTTTTGTTTCCTCTCACTAATGAGGTCCAATTCACGAACTCACTGTTAGTCCAGGCTAAACTGTGCTGTTATTCTGTTGAAGAAGCAGGTTTGTTTAATTCTTTGTGCATTTACTTCTGTGACTGTCACGGCATACAGCACCTCCTCTCCAGACATGATTCTTGCATTTTGATGGACACTGTTTTCTTATGGTCTTCATTTTACGTTGCTGTAAGAGAGATCTATAGCACTTCTGTTAAGTTAAATTGTCCTGTTACAAACCTGTGACAGAAACAGGAGGGGGGAATAAACTGGCTTTCACACTTAGATTGTGTATGTGGAGAAAACCCACCTGATGTTATAACTTTGGCTTACCATAATTAAACCGAATCTGATAACAACTACATATAAATGCATCTTTATGTACACCAGCAATGTTCCTGTAGTTCTTCATTTTCTGCAAAAGATACCTTGTTAACTGACTCTAGAAAAAATGATTTATCAAAGCGTTTAGCTGCAGGTCACACTTGGGTCGTACTTTAACAAGACTACAGTGTGACTTATGACTAATCTGTGACTTTTGCACCTTGGCTGGTTGTCTCTCACAGTGGTTCTCAGCCCTGGTCCTGGAGGAAAACTGTACTGTGTTCTCTGGTTTTTGCTGCAGCTGCGTTCATCATCACAGACTCACTTTTGAAGCTTTTAAAATGTTAAGCTTTCAGCACTTTGAAGGGGATTTTTCATTGGTTTCTTCCCCGAGTTTCAGAACTATTCTCAGATGAGGAGTGCTGCTTGAAAGGCACCCAAATAGCCCTCCGCAGAAGGAAAAGAACAAGCTCAGTCTGAGAGGGGCTGATACATTGTCATTCCCACCTGCGTCGAGTTCATTATTAACTGATCGTCGGTTTTCATAAACCGAAGTTGTTTGTCCGAAATCAGAATGAGCAAGGAGGAAATTCTGTATGGTGAAGTGGTGGGGAAAATATACGCTTGAGGAAAAAAAGTTTATTTAACTTGGGACTCAGAACAGAAACAGGTTAACCGAACGTCTCAAGAAGTAAGCTGGTCAGTTAACTCCATCCATTAGCACTGCAGACTGAGAACTCAGCTAGAAGGAAAACCAGTGGAACACCAGGACTGGAGGTTGCTTGGGAATCCCTGTTCTGTTTACCTGCAGCTGTAAAAAAGTGTTTTGGTTTGGAATGAAGGGTCACTGCAATAACATGTGTAAAACGGTGAGTCTGACTACCGCTCTCTGCCCTTTCTCCCCTCCCCCCCACAGGTCCACCATATCAACGCCAACTACTTCCTGGACATGACCGCCTTGAAGCCAGAGGAAACGGACGGCACCACGTTCGGCTTCGCGGGGGGGTTCGAAGACCCCTCAACTTCCACTTACATCCGCTTCCTCAAGGAGGGGATGGAGAAGGCCAAAGAGT